AAAAAAAAAAAAAAAAAAAAAAAAAAAAAAAAAGCAAAAAGCCTAGCACAGACATAAACACAAAAAGTTGAAAGCTTCGGCGATAGAAGCTGAAAATGCAAAGAAAAACAAAGCCAGCAATAAGTGCAGAGAAAAACAAAAGAAAATAACAAGCTTTTAGCAGAACAACACCTAATGCAACAATTCACTATGAAAATAGCAGAGAATGAATAAAAACGCGCCATTATTTTCCTTTCCTTTTGCTTCTAGGGATGCGATTTTCAATATTTAAAAGAAAAAATATTAAAATTTGAATTGATCACATACCTAGAAAAGAAATAAATTTCAAGCAAAATAATCGGGAAAATCAGAGGACTATATAAAGTGAATATAAAAGAGATCTAACGCAAAATCACTTAGAATAACGAACTTTTAACTCCGATCGTCGATCACAGACGCTCCGAACAATTCTCCGACCTGCAAATCGTAAGTCCAGCAAATGCAATGCAGAAAAATGCGCGCAGTTTATAAATATATATATTTTATTATATGTATGTATGTAGGAGGGTTTTCTTTTTCCGGAGGATTCTGACTTCTGAGAAGGGTTTAAATGTGTGTTGCTTTTATAGGGTGGTGGGGGTGGAGAACGAGTGGGTAGTGGGGTGGTGGGGTAAGGGGTACCGAAGAATGGTTTTCCAGAGAGTTCCAAAAAAATGAAATCTGTTGGCTGAATGCTGATGAGGTGGTGACTGAGATTTTAGATTATGAAAGCTGGCAATTCATGTAGGTTTTAATTATTTTTACTATTTCACCCTTATAATCTTGTCAAAATATCTACTCACCACTGTACAAACCGTTGTTTTTTTTTGTTTTCCTTTTTTTTTTCATGGTTAAAACTTTACGAAAAAAAGAGAACCATCGTTTTATTTTTGTGGACAAAAAAGGTACTGTATGTCATTTGTTTTTACGTACATGAGGAATTAAGGAAATTAATCAGAATGTAATAACCCAAGTTCGTCAATTTTTTAATTAAAAAAATATTTTAATCGTGTTGGTTGCCAGAGAGGGAAACCACACGATTTGGAACTTGAGTTCATAGGGGTAGGAAAAAGGAAAAAACTAATTGTAAATTAATTTTCAAAAATGCCAAAATATATAAAGAAAACTGATCTGATTAGAATAAGCTACACTAAAAGTGTGTGTATTGCTTAGTTTTGAATTTACAAAAGATAATTTTCTTTTTCCTACCCCTATGAACTCAAGTTCCAAATCGTGTATAGCTTCTTTTTAATTAATTAAGTATAAATTTTATGATAATAAAGACATTAAAAATGGAAAAAACATTCAAAAGTAAAAGAAGTGCAAAAAATAAATCTTAATATCAAGGCTAATATACATAAGCTTTAGCATGAGAAACACATCCACGCAACGTGTTGAAATTGCCCATGTTGACAGGCGTTGAATTCAACTCCTTGGCACTTAAAAAAGTGAAAGTATCTTCTTGCTGGGCAAGGGCGGTGCTAAGAATAATAAGATAGTATTAGTAGTATATATTATCTGTTCGCAGTTGGCACCAGATATTTCGGGTTCGAATTATGAGTATGAAAAAAATTCTTGATAGAGAACGCTATCTTCCGAATGTGACGCAAATTCGAATATAATCGAATTCCAATACAGATACTAAACATCTGGTGAAAAATCCAAAAAAACAAAACTACAATATCAGAGAAAATACATTTTTTTTATTGCATAGACACTTCTTTTTTTGTTTTTTTTTTAAATGAAAAAAATATTTTTCCTTTTCGTGACTTAAAAGAATATATCATTTCACGAAGTTAATTGTTCTATAGTAAGAGCTCTCTCCTACGCAAATATATATATATATATATATATATATATTTATATATATATATATATATATATATATATATATATAGAGAGAGAGAGAGAGAGAGAGAAAAAGCTAGCCTCTCTTTGCTAGAGTATAACTTTGGCTGAGTTTTTTTTTTTACTGCACTAGGGATATGTGTGGACGATTAGTGGTCAATAAAATTGGAAAATCATAATATCTCAGATTCAAATTTCAGTTGAGGCAAAAAATAATTAGGTAATTTTTTTTTATCTACCTAAATTTTAATACACTAATCAAGATACACACAATTAGCTCACCCCAGTATTACCGTAGTAAGAACTAAGAAGAACCTTCTCCTATAGAACGCCCTTATATTCTCCAAAGGTTATACCTCCTTTAAAAGTTTTGAAAAATAAGTGAGCAAGTAATCTTGCGCTTATTGTTTAAAAAGGGTAATTAGTGATACGTTAAATATTTCACGTAAAAAAATTCATATATTTATTAATTTTAGGATCTCTACGGTATCTGAACTATAACAAAAAGAGGAAAAAATGAGTGCTCAAATCAACAGTATAACTTGACAAATGGACACAAAAAACGGTGAGGTGACTTATAACCTGACACATATGTTTCTTATGCGTAAGTGAAAAGTAAGTTGGTGACCTCTTTTATACAATTATTATTTATTTTAACTTTTAGCTTTTTTCCTCCTTGAATCCACATATATTGCTCAAACCCAGTATAAGATTTTGATCAAGATGAAGTCCTGAATAGGTCATTCTTTCACGTTTTGTGACCCTTCAAAATCATGTCGTGTAGAATTCGATTTGCATTAAACAATTTTTCCACTTTTCTCTATGTGAGGAATAAGTAAAATATTATTTTATGAAGTCGAGATCCTCGTAAAATTATGTGTTAGAGAATACAAAAGTCCCTCACAACTATTTAACAATTTCTAAAAGAATCTACAATAATTTTGAAATATACTTTATTGATTGCTTTAGTACTTTGACTTAAAGATAAGTTTTATAGGGTGATTGTTAGATCAGCTATGTTGCATGGGGCGGAATGTTAGCCGGTCAAGAACTCTTATGCTTAAAAGATAAAAGTAGCAGAGATAAGGATACTGAGGTGGATGTGTGGGCATACTAGGAGAGATATTATTAGGAACAAAGTGATTTGGGACAAGGTGGGAGTGGCCTCTGTGAACGAAAAGATAAAGGAAGCGAGGGTGAAGTGGTATGGGCATGTGAAGAGGAGATGCACATATGTCACAGTGAGGAAGTGTGAGAGGTTGGCTATTGTAGGTATGAGAAAAGGTAGATGTAGCTTGAAGAAGTATTGGGGAGAAGTGATTAGACAAGACATGGCAGACATCCAGTTTACCGAGGACAAGACACTAAATAGGAAGTTATAGAGGTTGAAGATTAGGGTTGAGGGTTAGTAGGCCGTCAAGTTCAGGACTCTGTATCTGCTACGTTTGTTTTGGTTGTTTGATTTTGTTTTATATACCAGCACTAGTATCATCATTTTAGTGTTTTCCTATTCGTGGTGTCTAGTAGCATTGTTATATTAATGCTTTATTCTTGTTGTTAATGTTCTTATCTTTAGTATTTCTGGTATGACCTTCTTATTATTGTTCTCTTGTTCTTATCTTATTTTCTTGAGCCGAGAATTTTTCGAAAATAATCTCTCTACCTCCACAAGGTAGGGGTAAGGTCTACGCATACTTTACCCTCCTCAAACCCCATAATGTAGGATTGCACTAAATATATTGTTGTTGTTGTTATTGTTGTTGTTGTTGTTGTTGTTATTGTTGTTGTATTGCTTTGGTACTTTGTTTGGGTTGACGGTTTAAATTTTTTCAGTACATATTTAACATCATGTATGTATTTGAATTCTTAGGGGTCGTTTGGTAGGGTGCATAAGAATAATGCGGAATATGGTGTATTAGTAATGCTGGTATTAGTTATTCTTGCATTAGTTATGCTGACATATTTCTGATCCATTGTTTGGTTTGATGTATTAAAGCATTGCACAATTTCTAAAAGAATTATTTGTTTATAAAAATGCCCTCAAAACCAGTCCATCACTCGATCTTTTTAAAGAAACATATGTTAGGAATGTTTTTATATGAAAAAGTTTTAAAAAAATTATTTGATTTGTCTAAATATATTGTAGTATAGAACTGAATATTTATTTATAAAAAAGAAAATATGTTAAGTATTTATTTATTTACTAGGGATATAATTTTATTTCTCACTATTTGAATTATTTAATAACATATTTTAATCAAGCATAAATTTGAAGGGCAATTTTGTCTTTAACTAAGTTAATGCATGCGTTAAAACTCATTGCATTGCTAATACCATGGTTTTCTATGCGTTAGTTATGCATAGCATAATACCAAATAGAGTGTATAACCAATGCCTGCATAATTAATGCATATGTTCAAAAAGTGTACCAAACAAAATATTATTAATACACAAAGCTAATACATGCATTATTTTATCAAATGCATTTTACCCAACTACACCTTACAGCTTATCACTCAGTTTTAAGTTTGTTTTCAATATTACTCCCTCCGTTCACTTTTACTCGGTATGTTTTGACTTTTCACGTCCTTTAAGAAATAATAAATGAAGTGCATAATTTACCATGATACTCATATTAATTGATGCATATTTTATTGGATTTGAGAAAATAATTTGAAATAAGTAATAAATATTGTGGGTATAATAAAAAAAAGAATTGTCTTCTCTTAATATGCGTAAAGTGTTAAATAAAAATAAAAATCTATTTTTAATATACATGTTAATTAAAAATGAACAGAGAAAGTATTACGCAATTTCTAAATACGGAAATGGACGGTGGAGAAAGTGGATGTATGAGGATGAGGATGAGGATGAGGTATTTCTGCGTCATCATCCATTTATTTGAGTCTTGAGACTTGAGAGAGACAACTCAGCTAGTAAATATGTAACTGACACGTGTAATGTAATGAATAATAAACACGTCACCATCATCCCAATAAGATATTATTCACATCAACACACTTCATGGATTAGCATTCATCTTTT